GAGCAGCGCCCACCTTGACTCGAGCTGGCTGCAGCCGCGCTCAAAACTTGGGAACTTGATGGGCACTGATGTGATATCCGATTTTGTTGCGATTGCGACGCCGCCGTACCCGCGGCCATCAGGTCGGTCTGTGCGGCTAAGGGAGTAGCCAGGGAGCACTAAAAGTCTGTTTGGCGTAGAAGGGCGTAGCCAGGTCTCCGACAGTAGTACGACATCGTAATTGTTTTGGCGGAGTTCATAGGTCAGGTCCAATATTTTAGGCTTAAGGCTTTGAATATTCAAGCTTCCGATACGAAGATTCCGATGGTGGTTTCCTGTCGTTTCCGGTCGGCTCCTGCCCCTGCCGCGGCCACCGCGGGCGCCGCGGCGTTGTGGACGGCGTCCGCCGCTGCGGGCCGGCTTGGGGCGCGAGGAGACGCTGGTGGGCGGGGCCTGGGCTGCCGGCGGCGCGCCGTGGGACGCGGGCAGCGCGATCGGCCGCTCCCCACCCCCGCGGGCCGGCGGGGCTCTCAGCTGGAGGGGAGGGTGAGGCGACACGGCCGCCGGCTGGCTTCCGTGGGGCTCTGCGCGCGGCGCGGGAGCGCGGTCCGTCGTCCCTGGGGCTCGGGAAGATTCGAATGCCGGCAGCCGTTGGGTGGCTAGAGCTGGGGCCAAATCACTAGTAGAGCTCGATGAAAGCCGAGAAAAGTTCCGTGGGAAAGCAGGTTTTCTTTTGGTGAGATGGTGCCTGAGCTGGTGATCCGCCACTCGAAGTGTAGACCTGGATGGCGGCGCTGGTGCCGGGCAGGCCACAACGGTCAGTACCCGCACTACGGCGAGCAGAACCAGGAGACGGGCGATGTCACGGTGCATGTTGGAAGTGAGATGGGAGTACCAGTCCACAAAGAGATCTTGAGGGGTTCCAGTCGACGTATCTTCGTAGAAAAACTGTTTAAAAGTAGCACAAATACACTCTCACACTCACACTATCACACGGAGTAGGCAGAAGGGGGTAACGGGGAGGAGTGAGCAGCGCTCGCGTCCGCACACGGCGGCGCGCTCAGCTGAACTGAGCCCTTCTCTCCTGCCCTTCTCTCCTGCCAAACCATGCTCGGAAAACCTGTTTCGGCTATTCTTGCTACCAACCTGATGTCATCACAGGGTCTCATTCACTGTCCGGACCTCAGCGACCTCTCTGACGAAGAGCTCCTCACCGAACTAGCCCCGCAGGGTGTTATCGAGGTGCAGAGGCTGAAATCCAAGGACCGAACTCCAAACCCCCTGATTCGACTTCGCTTTAAAGGACTCGACCTCCCAAGAAAGCTCCTCTGCGGGTACCTCTCCGTCCCTGTTCGACCCTGGATCCAGCTGCCAAGGCAATGCCGTAGGTGCTGGAAGCTAGGCCACTCCATGCGCTCTTGCCGACGAAAAGAGACGGTCTGCGGGCAGTGCTCTGCCAGGGACAGCCACCCCACAGGTGACTGTACCTCGGTCCCAAAGTGCCCTCTCTGCTCTGGTCCACACCCAGCATGGGACCGAAACAGCTGCCCCGTCTGGAAAGCAACCAAAAGAGACACTCGAGAGCGAGCGCCATTCCAACCCCCGCCGCTCAACTCCACAGCTTGGCCACCACTTGAGAGTCAGCACCGAACGATGCAGCCCCCTCCGGCTCGCACAGACGCCTCTGTCCAGACAGATGGTGAGGTCATGGCCCCTAAGGCGACCGCAGTCCCTGTTCAGACCCAGACCGAGACAGCCAGCTCTCAGACGACCGACGCCAGCACCCAAACGACCAAACTGACCACCTTCGACTCGACCTCTCAAACTCGACCCGCCCGACTGGTCTCTGCCGAAGTCCAGACTGACACCCCCGACTCACCGACACCAACCCCGGACCCCAACGACCTCGGCTGCTCTCGAAGCAGGCCGTTCACCCGAGGCTACACGGCGAGCTTCCAGCCTGACAGCCCCCGAAACGACACCGACGATCCCGATCCAGACCTGATCCCGAAGAGACGTCCCAGGGGTGAGATCCCTCCACCTGAAATCGGGTCGCTGAAGTTTGAGTATGCCAGCGGCAGGCGACTTTCCTACCCTCCCTCCACCCTCTACTGGTTTGACCATGAAATCCGACTATACGACCTTGACCTTCGCCCAGAATCCAAAGCGTACAGGGCAGCCGTGGCTGGCTTCTATTTTGACGGACCCCCTCACCACGGACGCCGTATCTTCCTTCAGAGAATTCCTCCAACGGGTAACCACTAGTCCTACCAACATCGCTGCCTAGGAGTCGAGCTATGCCTCACGGCTACTCCTCCAGAGCCACCAAATTCCAGTCAAAGTTGTACCCCTGAGACGGGCGGGACATGACTGGGGCACCCGGGTCACACCGGCTGCCATAACCCGCTGGCTGTCTCACTCGGTAGGCCGGTTTTTATTTTGGCCGATCCCTGCGAACAGCCTGCGCAATTACACTTTCACTGTCCACATTAGATATATAACGTAACGTAACTATTGCGGGGATTTTTACTGTACTCGACAGTTTTTGCCCCTTGACTTAGGCACCAGGTTTTTTCTAGTTAGGACTTTTCCTGGTAAATACATCCCACAACAAACATCACACATTGCAACACCTCACAGCATCAGCAACAAGATTTACAGCAGCAAGTATGAATATTCTACCCCTTTCTGGACACCCTTGCCTTGTTAATCGGACGCCACATGAGCCGAATTAAAGTAAAGTTTGCTTCTCTCTCTTGCTTGGGTCAGAATTAAATAGCTGACAGTAAAGTAAAGTAAAACGAAAGATCTGGCTCATTGCCAGCCTTAGTAATTTCCCCTTCCCTGGCGGTTGCCTTAGGCATGCCGGGAAGACTAAATTAAAAAAAAGGTACGTCCCCAGCCGTCCCCAGCCGGTACGTCCCCAGCCGGTACGTCCCCAGCCAGTACGTCCCCAGCCGTCCCCAGCCGGTACGTCCCCAGCCGGTACGTCCCACATTGATACATAGGTAGTTTGAACATTTACTTTTTTGTTCGTTTGGAAATACATTGTTTGGATATGCAAGATGACATGACTCGGTGTAAAATGTCACGGTCCCTGCAATACACAGTATGCCAGAGCGTTTTTCCTAACGCGAGCGGCAAGGAGGCGGCTGTATGACCCCCTGGCGATTGACTTATATGGCATCTAGAAACACGATATTTAAAGGGTAGGTAGTAGGAACTAGGTGGACCAATAAAAATGTCCCTCCTGTACAACATTGGTAAACCTTGGTGTTAGCGAGCAAATACGTTGGTATTTTTAGGTATTTTCGCAAAGACGGCCGGCGCTCGGAGCGCGGCGGTCGGTCCGCCGCGCCGCGCCGGGCACATATGTGTCATCTGGCCCCTGTCCTGGTTCTCAGGCCCACGTGTTGTGCGTACCACGAGGGCTGAGACGGGACGGGGGCCCGACAGTCTTCGACGGGACTCCACCGGTGCGATACGGCCCGGTGCACGACGTGGCCGACGTGGCCTTACGTACAACGCGGCCAACGTGGCCCTACGAGAACGATTCAGTGAACGGCATTTGTGACCGCCGTATTTTGTGCATTTTAACCCTTCCATTTCATTCAAGAATAGACTTTTACTTATTTATGTATAAAAGCTTTTCATTCCCCCCCCCCCCCCCCCGCTTAACCCGCGCACCGACGGGGGTCTGCGCCAACTTCGTACCGACGGGGGGGGCGGATGACCGCCCCCCCCCTGAGATCTCGAGAACGGAGCAAGATAGCGACAAGCGGTAAAAACGGCATCGGATACGCACGGTCAATGTCTACAATTTTTACAATGGTCATTTTCAGGTCAGGTCAAAGATGACGTCACAGGGGTCGAAAAAGTCAAAATGGCGGCGCTTGATATGGAGAGAGTTGTTCTCGAATAACTTTCGAATTAGATTAGTCAAGGTAGGAACAAACTAAGGGCATCATCGTGATCCTCTCGTCAATCCGCATCGAATGATATATATGTTGACCTCGAAAAGGTCAAGGTCAAAGGTTTACCTCAGGTCACGTGACCTCGAGGTCATCATGTTTATCATTCGATGCGTCTTGACGAGCTGAACACCATGAGACCATCCGCGCGGCTGTATCTTGTTCCTGTACGGAGTTATGGGCAAAAAAACCGCTGGTGACATTTTGACATGAAGAGAGGATAGAGGAGCAGCTGTACGAAAAATCAGGCTTCTAGCTCTAACAATGTGGAGTGCAGAGCAGAAAGACTACCTGGGGGGGGGGGGGGGTGGAGGGGGGGTACCACCCCCCCATGTGCGGGCGAGGCTTAATCAATCTCCCCCTCCCCAACCCCTGACCGGGCGAGGGATGAGATGAAGGTACGAACTCTCCATTTTGTCGAGATATCCACTGAGATCATAGATCCGCCTCTTCCATTCCTGCACATGTCTGCTGCTCACTATGGTTTATACTGCCGAGCTGCACGGGGTGTCCGGAGGGATGGGGGAGTTCCAGACGGCCGGGGAGGGGGAGGGGGGGGGCTGCTGCACCGCCATCCGGCCCGTGTTATCACGAATCCATGGTGGCTTTCCGCTGACGTCATCAGTCTGGAACGCCGCGCCGCCGACTCACTGGGCACGCTAGAGTCTCCTCGCTACGGGACAAGACCCATTGGAACCCGGACATCCAAGTACTTGACGAATGTAGAGAGCTCCCATTTTATTTTGTTGTTGTTGCTGATTAGCCTTTACGAGGCAAATGTGCACTTACAGCAACAGTGTTCCATGAACGCCCCGGCTCCCACAAACACACACACACACAAAACGTTTATTAAGGAACAAAAGATACACGAGAAATAAAGCATCAAAAGTTATATAAATAAATAAAGCATAAATAAATAAATAAATTCCCATTAGTTAAAGTACGACGCCGGTGACCGGTAGGGGCGCTGCAGTCGCCCAGCGGCCCGAGGTCGGCGCTAACCGGTACTATGACTCAGCGGCGCCCCGCCCCGGGGTAATTCCGTACTGCGCAGTTGCAGCGGTCCAGACCGGGACAAGGGCGACGGAGGAGCACGAGCTGCACTGCGTCCACCGGCCGGGTCAGTGGACAGAGTGGGTGGTCCAACAGTGTGTGGACGGTACTGAGCTCTGTCCACCGGAGCCGACCACGGCGGAGGCGGCGAATATCAGGTGAGCCGGGCCGACCTGCGTGTGTGAGGGGGGGGGGATCTGTGTGTCCCTGTGTCTGTTGTCTGAGTGTGTTTTGTGCGTCTGTGTCTATAGTCAGACAACATGTGTTTGTGTAACGGTGTGTATGTGATTCTGTGATTCTTTGTGTGTCTTCTCTGTGTGCTAGGTACCCGTCTGAGTGTTTGGATGTGGGTGCTTACATGCATTAACCCTCGCCCTGGCAGGGCATTTTTCATAACACGGCCTGGCAGGGGGGGGGGGGGTCGATGCGACCCCCCCCTCGCGATTGGCTCCTATGGCACCTAGAAACACCAAATTTGGTAGGTAGGTGGGCCCCCTGGAGTTCTCGCCCCTGTGCAAATTTGGTTGCTCTAGGTCAATATTAAGGGGGGTTTTGGGGGGTATAAATGTAAAAAATTCGCTAAAAACAGGTCAAAAGTTTTTCGCTTATAACTTTTGATCTAATTAAGATAGAGCAAAAACAAAAGCACCAGTGAACTCAACACGTCAAGGCGCGTCGAATGATATACTTTTTAGCTTGCTGAAGTGTACTTAAAGTTTTTCTTAAATTTTAAGTAAACTTAAATTAATAAATTAAGTTAAAGTTAACCAAATTGCATCATATCGCATATCATTCGATTCGGCTGATCACCAGGAACACAATGATACCATTTTTTAAGCTCTAGCGTCATTATGTGCCAAGTTATTGGCAAAAATGTCATTTGACCTCAGTTGACCTCATTTGACCTGACCCATGGATAAGTACACCAAACAAAGAAGAACCAAGTGACCTGCTGTTAACCCGCGCACCGATGGGGGTCTGCGCCAACTTAGTACCGACGGGGGGGGCGGATGACCGCCCCCCCCCCTGAGGTCTCGAGAACGAAGCAAGATAGCGACAAGCAGTAAACGGCATCGGATACGCACGGACAAGGTCTACAATTTTTACTAAGGTCATTTTCAGGTCAGGTCAAAGATGACGTCACAGGGGCGAAAAAGTCAAAATGGCGGCGCTAGATATGGAGAGGGTTTATCTCGAATAACTTTCGAAGTAGTCGAGATAGGAACAAACTAAGGGCATCATCGTGATCCTCTCGTCAATCCGCATCGAATGATATATATGTTGACCTCGAAAGGTCAAGGTCAAAGGTTGACCTCAGGTCACGTGACCTCGAGGTCATCATGTACATCATTCGATGCGTCTTGACAAGCTGAACACAATGAGACCATCCGCGCGGCTGTATCTTGTTCCTGTAAGGAGTTATTGTCAAAAAACCTTTGGTGAACTTTGATGACGTCACATGACCTTACAGCTGCCCAACAGCAAAACAGACCTCAAGGTAGTGAAGGTTGATCGTATGTGAAGTCATGTATGGTATATGGGGCCATTCCGACCCGTTTTAGTGGTAAAAACAGGGAGTTGATTTTTCCCCCATTGACTTATAATGGGGAGGTCGCGAAATTGACCTGACCTTAGGTCACCGACATCAAAATTCCGAGATATACAAATTGTAGCTACTAATGACCTAATAACATCCTGCGACTTTCAAAGGCCTCCGACATCTACTGTAGCTCTGGCACGGTGACAAAGTTGCAAAAAAGTGACTTGAGGTTGGATCATTCAAAGTGACCTGGTGACCTGACCTTAAAAGTTAGGAGGTTCAAACTTGCACACCATGTGTAAAATTGATGAGAGAATAGTCATACCAAATTTCGCGGCGCTACGCGCCGCGGTTTTCCCGCTATCCGCGAAAAACCTCAGGGGGGGGGGCGGATATCCGGCCCCCCCGTCGGTGCGCGGGTTAAGTACTGTGGTTTCAAAGCACAAAAGTGATAGAACGAAGCGGATATCTCCAGTATTTTCCGAATTTAGTATTTTCCCATAGGCTTAACATTACGACGTAATGACCTCTAACTGACCTCAGGTCAGTGACCTCAAAAAACCCGAACTATATGTTATACAACTCGGTGAACTTAGCACATCCTGAAAGTTTGAAGGAAATCAGTGCAAAACTGTGAGTTGGACAGGTGCAAAAAGAAAATTGAAATTTGACCATGACCTTGTACCGGTTTTTCTGACATGGTGACCTGACCCAAGGTCACCCGGACCTGAAATTTTCAGGCCATATGTAAAAAGGTTGCCCCATAGGCTGTGCCAAATTTGGCGGCGCTGCACGCCGCCGTTTTTACGCTATCTTCGAAAAACCTTAGGGGGGGTCGCATCGACCCCCCTGCCAGGGCGAGGGTTAACGGGGAAGAGGGCATAAGAGGCGGAACGGGGGGTGCACCGGGGAACCGTGTCCCCTTGATTTCGGCATTTTAACATAAGCCCTATGGGCTTTGCATGGAAAGAATGGAGCTAAAAGTCAGAAATGCCCCTTTAACCCGCGCCCCACTGGGGGGGGGGGCTATTCATAGCCCCCCTCCCGTTTTTCTGCAATAACTTCCAAACCGCTTGACGTATCGACGCCAAACTTTCAGTACCTTCGGCTGCATCAATTTGACACCTTGTGTCAAACTTTGAGCTTCGTACCTACAATAGGTCGGCCGGAAATGACGTCAGAGTGACGTCATGTTCGGCCGATTTCGACACAAAACATTGAACCACGGCAATCGCTCCCAAGAGCTCAGTTTTTAAGCTAGATCCCATTTATTTGCATGAGAGGACTCAGAATAGACGGCGCTATCAAACTGCAATCTCGAATTTTCGAAATTTTGAAAATTTCGAAAATTTAATATAATAAAATTCAAAATTTATATTTTTACATTTTTTCGAAAAGTTTTTGTATTTTCGAAAAAAAACGGAATATATGGGATAGAACTCATTATTATGACTAACTCTAGCAAATTTAAGCTAAATATCTTCAAAAATGGCCAAGTTTTACGCATTATTGCAAAAAATCACAATTATTAATTTTTCAAATCAATTTTTCAGCACGTATTTGACATCGTACGCCAATATAAATAGCACCATCGTGTTCCTGAGCTAAAACTGCATCCAATAGACACCTTTTTTGTTGAAAATTTTAACTTAAAAATTTGACCTTTTTTGACCTGAAAGTGACCTGACCTAAGCTAAATATGATTCAAAATGACCTCGAATGACACAGACGACATCACATTCGAAATCTCTGGCCTAAATGGACCATAAAACATGTGTCACGTGACCGACGCATGATATAATATTTTCGTGGCCTGTGATGACCTGACCTTGACCTGAAAATCAAAGTACAAGTTTGGTACCCTCAGGGTATCTAGAGCATCTGTTCACGAGTGTGTGAACCAAAAATGAGCCTTATCTGACTTGTAAGACGGCGGCCAGAGCCCAAAACGTGAACAAGCCAAAATGCTAATATCTCTTATTTTGACCTGACCTGTGACGTCATCGGTGACCTCGAGGTCAATGAAATTAGGTTTCACTCGACAGTTTTTCCGGGGCTATCAGACGCCGTTTGAATTTTGACGATCGGCCCAGTAGTTTCGGAGTTAGGAGGGGGGCTATGAATAGCCCCCCCCAGTAGGGCGTGTTATACGCAGACCCCAGTGGGGCGCGGGTTAATTGAAGGTGTTCCGCGCTACTGCAAGGGGGCAAATGTTCCGCAGTGGCTGCCAGTTGCCTCTGCAGTGACGAGATTTTGCCAACCCTGTAGGAGTAAATATGAGACACTTCAAATATTATCCAAGCTGTCAAACCCAATGTGAAAGTCAATCAATCCTATTTCCTTTTCATATTTTGTCGCCCGTGTTTACACTGATCTTAGTCTAATATCGTAGAGAACATCCAGCGGCGTATCCACAATCTTGAGATTACCTTTACCTTAGGGTACCCAGTGGAAACTTTTTAGCCCGCGTCCTGGTGGGGGGTATTTTTTGCCCCCGCCCCCGTTCCAGTCGTTTTGCAATATCTCTCAAACTAATGCTCCGATTGCCGCGAAAATTTGAGAACCCTCTTTTAAATAGGTTTTACACCTCGTTAGCTTTTCGTCCACAGTCTATGATAGGTTGGCCGCAAATGACGTCAGAGTGACGTCATGTTCAGGCATTTCCGACCCAAAAGAGGTTTGATGGGAGGATCTGTCAAGCCCAAATTTTTAAAGATAAAGAAAAATGTTGAAAAACAAAAAGATAAAAAACGAGCAGCGCTACAAAACTGCTATCTTGTTTGTTATATATTTGCTTTGATTTTGAACCCCAAATTAAAGGGACCCTCCCACCTTAACATTAGTTTTGAGTTGAGATGGCCAAGTTTGCGGCCAGGCTCAGAAACCACCATTTATCCTGGTCGCAACCCCCGCAGCTTTATGGTGTTCAAGAAATTTCTTCACTTTACTTGCAGGGTGGGACCAGCGTGGTCCCTATCTCTTAACCATTACGGGAATCTGATGACGTCATCAGGCTTTCGAACGTCCGTTAAATGTTTGACTAAAACGTTTTGTAGCACGCGGTGGTATATGCTGCTTTGCGCGCAACAAATGCCGCACTTTCAAATAAAGTCGCTAGGAACAGCCGAGATCCCAAAAAGTAAACAAAAGTAAAAGTCTAATATCTTGAAAACCGGTAAATATTTTTCGATGAAATTTGGTAGATATTCGTTTTTGCTCTTTCTGAACCGAGCGACATCACTTTCATGCCAATTCATTAACTTTTTTGAAGGTGGGAGGGTCCCTTTAACCCGCGCCCCGTTGGGCTCTGCCGAGCAACGCACCCCGTTGGGGGGGGGGGCAATTTTCCCCCCAAAAGATCTCGAGAACCACGCAACCTAGCGACAAGCGGCAACCGGTGTTGGATAGCCCTATCAGGGAACTACCTTATGACCCAATTTTGTTGACCTAGGTCAGACCGATGATGTCACAGGTCAGGTCAAAGGTCGAATTTTCACCGTTTAGAGGCATTTCAAGAAATGCGTTGTAAAATCGAGTAAAATGCATTTCATTGAAAATCATCGATGGGGAAATGTTCTTCAAACACATATTTTGCTCTTTGAGGTCACTGATACCAGG